ATCACCCCCCAAAACTAAAAGAAGTTTTGTTGGAATACTGAAATACAGTGAATATGTACAAAGTCGAATTTGTATGTGAATTGCCATTAGCCATAAGCTCAGGCCTTATGTGGACTGAGCTGAGGGGACATGCCGCCTGGTCACTGGCCACTTTGCCTTCTAACTGGAAACAATCAAAAAGACTCCCACAAGAAAAGCAACAGTAAAACCTCGAACGCAAATCCAGAGTAAAGTTAGTACAATGAAAGGAATTTGGGCCCTCTTGTGGGAGGCTAGGTGTAGATGGTGCTCCAGATACTGGTTTTTACTGCTTCATGGCATGCTGAGAGTTTTATCTGAACAAAGGCCTTTCTTGTGTAGTCTTACTGGCCTGTCATTGCACACACTCAGTTGGAGCTATTTGAGATTGCAAGGAGCAAGGCGCTCTGGTACTTCTTAGCCTTTTTAATCTGCTATCTCATATTGCTTAAAAACTACGCTTGACAATAGATGGTTGGAGGATACCAAAAGTTTAGCAATATTAATGCTAAGTGCTTAGAAGTTAAGACTTGATTCAGTTTTAAATAATGTGCAAAGTAATGTCTGTACCCGTTGAGACCAATTTGTGAGCAACTCAGAATCGGAATCTCTGCCCTTATTGGGCATGACTGGTAGTGATAAGTGTGTTATGGATATAAAGCATAAAGATAGGAGGACTTGCTACTCTGTAACTTGAAGATTAGAGCAGAACAAGCTTTAGGGGACTAAGCCAAATTTTACTCTGAACACACGAAGCAGTCACAAAAGCCCCCTCCATTGAGAACAATGATCCATTGCTTTTGCTGTGAGAATACTCACATCTGGATTATACTGCTGATTCTTCGAACCTAATGTTTTACAGATGTGGAAGTAAACAGGTATAGATTAGCTCGGATAGATTCATGTGGCCTCTGAGTCTTAAATTTAGGCTAGGCCTTAAGACATAAATTTTATATTGAGGGAGAGGACCAATTAGTGCTCTTAGAGTGAGGGCCAAGCACCTTTTTCTTGGATGGTTAGGACCTTTAAAATTTTGATCTTTGGGGCTGGGAAGGTGGCTCAGTGGTAGAACGCTTGCCTTGCATTCATGAGGCCTGGGTTTGATTGCTCAGCACCACATAAACAACAACAACAACAAAAAGCTGGAAGTGGTGTTGTGGCTCAAGTGGTAGGGCACTAGCCTTGAGCTGAAGAGCTGAGGGACAGTGTCCAGGCCCAGAATTCAGCCCCCATGACTGACAAAAAACAACAACTTTAAAAAAACCTCAAAATCATGGATCTTTAAACTGACTTGTGAAGATGACCATCAGAAAGTTTACTTGCCTAGGAAGCATGTGTCTGAGCGTTTCTTTATTTTAATCTCTTTTTCTCCATCATGTGTCCATTCACATGAGATCACATAAACACTTCAACTGAATTGAAATTTTATTCTTACATAGGAGTTAATATCATTCATATAATGTTAAAACCAGTAGTCATTTCATAATTCTCTCTATCCCTGGAAGGTCTAATTTCTGAGGCATCTTTAAAAAGCATCCATTATGAGCCAACTTTCATATTGGCAGATGGAAGTTGGCATGTATAAATTTTGAGGGGACCTATATGGATGAAATGATCCATGTGGTAGGTTTTGGGACTTTGATGTTTTATTTGAAGAAATAGTTTACTTTTTGGGAAAGCCACCTCTCATGATAAAGATGATGAAGGAAAAAGAATTGAAATTAGCTTTGGGCTGGTGGGCTTCGCTACTCCCTGGCACAAATGTTGCCTCCCCCCTTCTCCCCGCAATGTGTACGGAAGGTAGTGATGGGAATCTGCTTTGTTCTCATAACTCCATGTTGCTCCCCTCTTAGCTCATTCTTTTTATGTATCCAAAGACCTATATGAAGGACTCACCTCTCCCCTCTGGAACTATTGCCTGGGGTCAACACCATATATTAGGAAAATGGAGGAGAAAGGAAGGAAATGGGCCGGACACGATCAGCCACAGGCGAGGATTGTTTATTGAGATAGAGCAGTGAGGGACACAGCCTTCCTGTGGGCTTGGAGACTGTGTGTAGGAGCTGGGTTTTTATGTGGTCTGAGCAAGGAGACAGAAGCTAATGAAAAAGTCATTAGGTCAAGGGAGGTGGGGGGCATTTTCAGTTGGACCCATCATGGAATGTTTACAGCCAGGCTTAGATGGATTGCTGTGCTGGAGTCGGGCAGTCTGCACTTACCTTTGGTGGCTTGCCTGGTATCTGTATGCACCTGGGAAAACAGGGTGGGAGTCAATCCTTCAAATTCCATCCTTGGTTACGTAGGAAGAATGGTTCCAGAGGGGAGAGCAAGTCTTTCAGATAGGGGTCAGGCCTTGCCTGGGAATTTTAGCAGGAAGCAGAATATGTCTTAGATAACTGCCTGGCATAAATCATGATTGACATTGAGAAACAATATAATTGATACTAGCACTATTTTCTAGTGGTAAAGGAAAGAGATGCTTGTTTGTTTCTGAGCATTTTGTCTCTTAGCAATTAGGTTGCTGCAGTAAGTAGCCTTTGAAACAAACCCAGCCCCCTCTCCTTCCAAGCAAATGGGCTCTGGACCCTATTTTCCCCTTTCTTTGAGAACCATTGCCTGGGGTCAGCACCATATGTTAGGAAAATGGAGGAGAAAGGAAGGAAACAGGCCAGACATGATCTGCCACAGGTGAGGATTGTTTATTGAGATAGAGCAGTGATTGGCACTAAGAACATACCTCAAAGGAGGTCTTGTGCTTGTGTAGGTGAACAAGTGACAGGGTATGCATGGACCTTGAGTAACAAGGAGATTTCTGCTGAAGGCCAGCTACATCTCTTATTATAATACAAACATTTCAGAATACCCTTTGAGATAACTAATTAGGTGATCCTCCCTATCACTTCAAAGTATTTAGAGGTGAGGAAGGTGGTCATAAAATATGATCAACATCAGGATCTAGCAGATAGGAAGTGATGAAACAAATACCTTTCTGAGTTTTAAGTTTTACATGATATTACCTGGCAGTTTTTTGTGCTAGCTGTTGACTTTAGTAGACAAGTTAGCATTTTTTATGTAGACAGCTTTATGAATTAGACCTAATTATGAATTAACCTAATTTAGGCATTATATGTATATTTTATATTGCTGGTACAAAGTGTTCTAATGTTTTTAGAACTGTAGCCCATTTTGCCATTTATAGGTCTTTTTTCCCCCTTATGCCCATTCTGGGGCTTGAACTCAGGGCCTGGTGCTGTCCCTGAACTTCTTTTGTTCAAAGCTAGTGCTCTACCACTTGAGCCAACGTGCCACTTCTAGCTTTTTCTGAATAGTCTATTGGAGATGGGAATCTCATGGACTTTCTCTGCCTGGGCTGGCTTTGTATCACCATCCTCAGATCTAGCTTCTTGAGTAGCTAGAATTACAGGCATGAGCCACCAGTGCCTGGCTCATTTATGAGTCTTAAGTTTACTGTTGATTTTAAAAAGAAAATGTCTGGATTTATTGGAGGTCTAGTATGTTCCAGCATGCAACATTTATTCTGAGGTTGACTCAGAAAAAAAGAAAAATCACTTAGAAGTTAACACGTGGTATTTAGATGATGATACTTAATCTGTTACAATTAGGATTTTTTTTTTTGGTCCAGTCATGGGGCCTGAACTCTGGGCCTGGGTGCTCTCCCTCAGCTCTTCAGCTCAAGGCTAGCTACCACTTGAGCCACAGCGCCACTTCTGGCTTTTTTCTTATGTGGTGCTGAGGAATCGAACCCAGGGCTTCGAGCATGCAAGGCAAGTGCTCTACCACTGAGCCACCTTCCCAGCCCCTGTTACAATTATGATTAACTGAAGATTTAGAATTTGTATACCAAGAAGAAAACCTCCAAAGTCAAGTTGATTTTAGATAAATTTAAATGTCTATTTTGCAGGGTGATTATCTGATATTTTTCAGTTTTGGATTTATTGGAATAGATTTGTCTTTACAGGTGACAAATGTCAGTTTTGTTCAGGTTTGTAGGACACAATCACATTACTTCCAGAAAACATGGCTTCTTCTCCCTCTGCCTTCTGGTTTTTTTGTACCCTTCAAGAAAAAAGACATTAAAGGGAAGACATACTCTGCAAAATCAAACCTCGACTTTAGTGCCTTTATCTTCTTTAGGTTTTCTTGGAAATAGTCGCATGAAGAAAAGGAAGAGAAGGAAATAACTTCTTTGAAAGTTTTTATATTTTTCAAACATCATGTACCTTTGAAAAGATAAAATCTTAGAATTGTTTTGTATGTTTCTAGCTTTTTGTGTGGAAAACCTTGTCTCCCATTAGCCATCTCTTAAGTTCCGGGCTACTGTATGATAACTACATTCACATTCACAGTACAAATTCAGGAAAGTTCTATAGCAATAGGTTGTACAGATGAATTTGGATTTCTGTGCAGATGCTAGCACCTAGTAAACACCTGTACCCATTCAGGACCCTAATAGAATTCTAGCCCTGGATACCCTTGGGATTTGTAATACTTGAAGATTTATGTTTGTATCTTTATGACTAGTGTTTTCCTTCCTTTAGGATTTAAAAAAATTCATTAGCATAAATGGATTGTACAAGGATTTCAGTGTGATATTTAAACATGCATATAATGTATTTTGTTTCAGTTCACTCTATGTAGGATGCTTTCAGATCTTGATGTGTGTTCCAAATACACTGTCACAGTAAGATAAGGACAATATCATGGAGAAGTTAGGCCATTTAGTTCATGAGGTTGAGGAAGTTTTTGTTCCTGATTCAAAATAATGAATCCTAATCACTGACTTTTAAGTATTGGCCGAGACAGTATGGATTGTTCTTTGCTGTGGAATTCAAGTGTGTTATTTTTTTTTTTAAATAAAGAATGTTTTGTTGCGCCATGTTTGCTCAATTGAAAGTTTCCTCATCTCGTGGTGAGACCCTCCTCTAATTCAATCTTTGTCTTTTGTCTTTGCTGCCTTGCAGGGTTGGTACAATAGGCTTCACTAGACTTAGCTGCAACTCAGAATTTCTCCTCCAGCACCTGAGTAAATGCTGATGGTCTTGTGGAGAGTGGATTAAGAGTACGAGCTAAGTTCTCAATCTCAATTAAGAAGCGGAGGAAAATTTAACTGTCTCCTTCAGAGTTTATCACAACCACCACCATCAAGACAGCAAACCAAAGGACAAAGACTTTGACCTGCTGTGTTACTCTGTATAGTCCAGTTCACGTATGGTTTACAGACTTGGCTGGGGTGACTAATAAGTAAATAAAAAGTTGGACACGTCTGTCATTTGGACACTTTGATTCACAATTTACCAGAATGAGGGCTATACTGGAGCCAACAGACATTGCCATAGTGGCCCTGTATTTTATCCTGGTCCTGTGCATTGGTTTTTTTGCCATGTGGAAATCTAATAGAAGCACCGTGAGTGGATACTTCCTGGCGGGGCGCTCTATGACCTGGGTAGCAATTGGTGCCTCTCTGTTTGTGAGCAATATTGGGAGTGAGCACTTCATTGGGCTGGCAGGATCTGGAGCTGCAAGTGGATTTGCAGTGGGCGCATGGGAATTCAATGCCTTACTGCTTTTGCAACTTCTGGGATGGGTTTTCATCCCAATTTACATCCGATCAGGGGTATACACCATGCCTGAATACTTGTCCAAGCGATTTGGTGGCCATAGGATTCAGGTCTATTTTGCCGCCTTGTCTCTGATTCTCTATGTCTTCACCAAGCTGTCAGTGGATCTGTATTCGGGTGCCCTCTTTATCCAGGAGTCTTTAGGTTGGAACCTTTATGTGTCTGTCATCCTGCTCATTGGCATGACGGCTTTGCTAACTGTCACTGGAGGCCTGGTTGCAGTGATCTATACAGACACTCTGCAGGCTCTGCTCATGATCATTGGGGCGCTCACTCTTATGATTATTAGCATGATGGAGATTGGTGGATTTGAGGAAGTTAAGAGAAGGTACATGTTGGCCTCGCCCAATGTTACCTCCATTCTGTTGACCTACAACCTTTCCAATACAAATTCTTGTAATGTCTACCCCAAGAAAGAAGCCCTAAAAATGTTACGGGCTCCAACAGATGAAGATGTTCCGTGGCCTGGATTCATTCTTGGGCAGACCCCAGCCTCTGTGTGGTACTGGTGTGCTGACCAGGTCATCGTGCAGAGGGTCCTAGCAGCCAAAAACATTGCTCATGCCAAAGGCTCTACCCTCATGGCTGGCTTCTTGAAGCTTCTGCCAATGTTTATCATAGTTGTTCCAGGAATGATTTCCAGGATACTGTTTGTTGATGACATAGCTTGCATCAACCCGGAGCACTGCATGCAAGTATGTGGAAGCAGAGCTGGGTGTTCCAATATTGCTTACCCACGCCTGGTGATGAAGCTGGTTCCCGTAGGCCTTCGTGGCCTGATGATGGCAGTGATGATTGCAGCTCTGATGAGTGACTTGGATTCAATCTTTAACAGCGCCAGTACCATATTCACCCTTGATGTGTACAAACTCATCCGCAAGAGTGCAAGCTCCCGGGAGCTAATGATTGTGGGCAGGATATTTGTGGCCTTTATGGTGGTGATCAGCATAGCATGGGTGCCAATCATTGTGGAAATGCAAGGAGGTCAGATGTACCTTTATATTCAGGAGGTGGCAGATTATCTGACACCTCCAGTGGCGGCCCTGTTCCTTCTGGCAATTTTTTGGAAGCGCTGCAATGAGCAAGGAGCTTTCTATGGTGGAATGGCTGGCTTTGTTTTTGGAGCTGTCCGGTTGATTTTGGCCTTTACCTACCGTGCCCCAGAGTGTGACCAACCTGATAACAGGCCTAGCTTCATCAAAGATATCCATTATATGTATGTGGCAACAGCATTGTTTTGGATCACAGGACTCATTACTGTAATCGTTAGTCTTCTCACACCACCTCCCACAAAGGATCAGATTCGCACCACCACTTTTTGGTCTAAGAAGAGCCTCGTGACGAAGGAGAGTTGTTCTCAGAAAGATGAACCGTACGAAATGCAAGAGAAGAGTATTCTGCGATGCAACGAGAACAGCGAGGCCATCAACCATGTCATTCCCAATGGGAAATCTGAAGATAGCATTAAGGGCCTTCAGCCTGAAGATGTTAATCTATTGGTGACCTGTAGAGAGGAGGCTAACCCAATGGCTTCCTTGGGTCCTTCAGAGGCAGAAACACCAGTAGATGCATATTCCAATGGGCAAGCGGCTCTCATGGGTGAGAAGGAGAGAAAGAAAGAAACGGATGATAGAGGCCAGTACTGGAAGTTCATAGACTGGTTTTGTGGCTTTAAAAGTAAGAGCCTCAGCAAGAGGAGTCTCAGAGACCTGATGGACGAGGAGGCTGTTTGTTTACAAATGTTAGAAGAGACTCCACAAGTTAAAGTAATACTGAATATTGGACTTTTTGCTGTGTGTTCGCTTGGAATTTTCATGTTTGTTTATTTCTCCTTATGAACTTAAGGATACGATGAGACACTTAACTTAAAATACTGGTCTTTGGGGGAAAAATTATGTAACTGTCGCATCTCTCTCAGGCATTGTTTACGCAGTAGGTTTTAGCCAAACTTTACTTAGCAGAACGCCATCTATTTGTAAGACTTTATTTTCCTAGAGATGGATGAAAGTAGATCCTCAAATTAAGTGGCACAGAACAGACTTAATTGTGCAAAAATGTGGTTTTAAAACATTACATACCAAAGTAAGGAGAGACCAATTGTCATAGGTCACTTAGAGCAGAATACATATCAAAGAAAGGTATTTTAAGAAAATATATCAGGACTGCCAATTCTTGGTAGACTTTATGCTGAAGATTGTTTATTTCTAATTTGTTTTGTTTTGTTTCTGTAGTCCATATTACCTTTTAAAGAAACCTGAATTTTTAGAATACTCGGTAATGCGTTACATAGTGAAAATATAATGTCCTTGAGTGGTCCTTCTTTTAGGGCAGGTTAGGTTTGCCAGGTTTGTTTTGTTAGTGTAAGTCTGTGGATGCTGACTGCCAAGAAAAGGAAGGAATATTTCCTGTATGTATTTTAGTATCACTTGTATGTAGAGTGTTGTGGGGGAGGACTTTATTCCAGCTATTCCCCCTCTGTTTGTTTCTATTTTCATGGAGGTTTAAGTGAAACATACTCAAATGACCACCAAGTGTGTCTATAAAGTTTTGTCAAAATTGTGTTGTTAAATAATTATGGGGGATAGTAGAAGGGCCATTACTTATGAGTCCCACATTTATTGACCAAATTAAGGTTTCTTTTCAATATAGTTTGGGAATAAGCAGTTCCTAAGCAGTGTTTGACTTAGGCTAAAATGATTAATCATGCTCTGCCATTTTTCTAGCTTTTTCTTGTAGTTCGATGACATTTTTATTAGTCAAAAGTTTCCTTCCCAAGTGGATCGATTAGGGATATATATAGTCCATTATCTTGAAAAAGTGGCGCTGCTTTTGTGTGCTCGGTTACCCAGCTTAGTGAAGCTCTCAATATATGGAGAATGAGATTTCAAGAGGGAAACCTCAACTTTGAGATCAGAATGCATTTTTCTTCCCCAGTTCTTATCTTCCTCCCCCCGCCCCCCCCCCCCAATTGCCATTTGTTGTTATAGTCATGTAGAGCATGAGAATGTTTCAGTGAGAATAGGCTTTCGGTTACGGAAAACTCAGAGAGCTGACTTGCTATTGGTAGATTAGCAGTATAATCTTTCTGTAGGATGGATAGCATGTTGGAAAGGTGCCATGAACAAGAATTGTGTCTATAGAGGATGTTATAGGACTTGTGTAGATAGGGTACTCTTTTCTAGACATGAGTTGATACCAGTTGCAACATTTGTGGGTAGGGATCTTTACTGAGGTGGGGTACAAAGGATGTTAGGAAAAGGCTTTGTGAGTGATGTAGTTTTGTGTCCTCAACACTGCCCTTTGTCCTCCAGGAAACAATGAAGAAAACTAATTGTGTATCTACTTTCTTTGTCTTTAAACTGATACTTTTTAAATTGCATGATTTTACTAAGCCTTGTATTCTTTAGGGAAAATTACTTTTATGGGTAATTTTGTAGATTTTGAATCAAAACTCAGTCCTGATGACTAAATTTTTTGTAATGTATACACTAGTTTGCTTATGGTGGACTTGATTAGTCCAAAGTTGATTTTAGAAATAATCAGGTAGTATAATGTCTTCCTATCTTCAGGAGGCTTTTCTGATGGATTGAGTCTGTAGATGAAAAAGTAATTCATGTATGATTAGCATGTATTTCTGAAGAGCTTAGAGTGCCTTGTATAATTTTTGTTCTCAATTTTATCCTTGAGATTTATAACTTGGAGCCAAGTAAATAGGGACCATTCTTGTCTTGTATGGAGAGTGAGGCTGTGACACGTTCAAGGCTAATAAACCTTTTTGGGAAGAACAGAAACCAAGTCTCCAAGTCTAGACTCAGAATTTTGTCCAGATGTGTCTCGACAAATAGTTTGTGCTATTTTTTCCTCTTTTGATATAACCTTTTCATGTTTTGGAAAGGGTCTTGCATTTTCCAGATTGGTGTTAAAGTACAGGAATTAACATTTCTTTGAACTCTGAACACATTTTTCACATAGCCCTGAGCATTGACACAGTGGCCAGGCAGCCTTATCTTTTCTCTCTATAGCATAAGTGAATAGGAAAGTGTGTATGTGACTTTTTCTCCTTTATTTAATATTGAGTACTAATACTTTGGAGAATTAGGGTCCCTGTACCTTTTCTCTTTTGTGTCAGTAAGATACATAAAATATATCATCTTGTGTCTGTTGGTGTGTGTATAGCAGTAGGTCAAGGTTAGAGTACTAATGTGTGTAAATAAGGAATGACTATTAGCATGTCCATTAGAGTTGTTTATTCTTATTAGTGTAAACATCACTTTATTTATACTGAAGTCCATGAAGCTTTTCCGTCTTATTGCTTCCCAGGAATAGATAATGTTCTTGAATCAGTATGTGAATTGCTGATGGCATCTTCCTTTGGGGAACTAATCTTTAGTCTGTTAGATGCAGTAAGTGTTCATAGGATGATACACTGACTTTCTTAAAGTAGCAAAATGTTCATTCTTTACACTTGAGTAAATGAATCCTAAAAGATGACATTGATGTCTATACAATGTGTGTACTTTTATGTTTGCTCAAACTAAGCTAAGGTGTAATAGCTAAAAGTCAAAGTGAAAAGTATGAATGGCATTGATTGGTTAATGGGCGGCGGGGGGGAGGGGCGTTGCAGTGGACGGGAGAAAAAAAATACCATCTTTGCCAGCTGTGAATGATATCCTCCAGCGCCTAGATTTTTGTCTTTTCAGGTCAGGCAGTCTTCATCTCCTGATCTGAAGAGTTTAGTATACTGGATTGAAGAAAGATTTTTTTTTTAAATGGTATGGGACTTTTGGATTCTCTGTTCATCTCAGAAGATTCTGACCTGTCATCCCAAGAGTGAACTATTATTGAAGCAGGTTCTCCCTCATCTGCCTTTTTTTTGAGGAGATGACTACTTGTTTTGTTTTTAGAAAAGCAAGTAATAGCAGTGGTGCTGTGTGTATCCTTTGATCCATACTCAGTAGATCTGATCTCCAGGGCTTCCTTTTCATTTACTTGGCTCAAAGGATCCATTGTCTTTTTTTGCAGACTGGCCAGGGTCTCAAACGATAGCAGAAGAGATTGTCAGACCCATCCCTCTGTGAAACTTTCCATTTTAAGAATTGTGCAGGAGCGTTGTTATTCAGCTCTTTATCCCCAGACTAAGCAAAAGTTTACGTTCCAAGAGCATCAAAAATTTGTGGACTTTTGCCAGGTACATGGTCTTCCTCTCTTTTGAGTATGATTTAATGTAGTCTATGAGTTACTCTTACGGTTTTTCACACATAAAGCAGCTATAGTATTAGCCATTAAAGAATTAGGTCTTGCTGGGTGCTAGTGGCTCATGCCTATAATCCTAGCTATTCAGGAGACTGAAATCTGAGGATTGCAGTGCCAGCCCAGTCTGTGAGACTCATCTCCAGTTAACCACCAGAAAACTGAAAGTGGCACTGTGGCTTCAAGTGGTAGAGTGCTAGCCTTGAGCAGAAAGCTTAATAAGGACAGCACCCAGGCCTCGAGTTAAGCCCCAGGAGCAACCAAAAACAAACAAAAAATCATCATGGGTGTCTGGTGACATCTAGCCATGATGAAGTCTAAACTCAAAAATTTTATCTTGGCCTCAGATTGATAAATTGAATACTAGGGAATAAGATAGAGCCTGTTGAGCCCCTGGTTTAATGATAAGTATTATAAAGTATGAATTAACACAGTAAAGGTTAAAGTGACTGGCACATGGTATCTATGACTTAGGAAGCATTTAGCCTGGGCAGGCGTTCCTATTGGCATCCATTTCTCTATGTATGTATATTGGGAGGAGCGAGAGGAGACTTAACCATTTGAAAATATCTGGCTTTTATCTCCCTTACATGGCTCCCTAGTTCTTCATCTATTCCTTTAGTGCTTACCAAATTCTTGTTTTGCTCTTTGGTAAATTTAGTTCATTTTTCAGGCATATTGTCTTGGTATAGAGGTCTTAGATCTAAATAATGGCTTATTAAAAATAGAGTTAAGTTTAAAGAGAAGGAATAATTTTCTCAAGTTTGTGTTAGATAATGATAAAAGCACTAACTAGTACAGTATTTTATTTTCACGACTGTTTCCACAAACTTAGGAAAGAGCAATAAAGAAAAGTCAAGAGTCCCTTTGAAATGATGGTGTCAGAATATAGAGGCAGTCAGGTTTGTCTTAATGCCAGAATAAGTTTTTGCAGGAAAGATGGAACTAGTCTGTTGGTTTCGAAATTTTTTTGTACTAGTAGGGATGCAGATAGATTGGACACTGAGTACTAGGCATGGTTGACAAGCCCCTTTTCCGCATTATGTCCCTTTCGCTTAATTTGGTATGCTTTTGTCAGACTTCTCTGTTGGAATTCTGTACCTACTCAGCAACTTGGATTCCTAAAAGAGAATTTAGCTAAGATTCTAAGTAATTAACAGGCCTTGTCATTGTGTAGGCCCAAACCTTTATTTATTTTAGTGCTGCAAATGTTTTTATTTAAATTTTTCTCTCTCCAGTTCTAGAAGTAAAACTTTACTACTGATTCATCTTTTTAAAAATGTTGTGAAATTGATGTCATTTATGTCTTTGTTTCTGTTTAAACTTCTTTAAAAGGTGGGGTTTAATTCCTTGGGGGCAAGCATCCTGTTTTTCTAGTAATAAACCACCATAACTATTGGCATATAATCTTTTACTCAGAAATGAACGGAAAAGGTTTGATGTATCTATTCAGTAATGTCATGCACTTTACTCTTTAGGATACTATCATAGAATCTGCCACTGTTGACTTAAACCAAAAACCATATTGTAGTAACTGATGTCTTTGGTAACTTGGATTCCCAGCATGACTGAAGAGAGTCACTTTAGAATAAAGTTAGCAGACGTGGTGTCAGATTCTGACAGAAAGGCAGAGAAGAGCACTTATTGTAACTGTTGCTGGCCATAATGAAGCCATTCCCATTCCTTCCACCTCCCTTCTGTACAGTTTACAGTTCAGTGAATTCCAGTTAGGTATCTACTGCAGTGATGTATTTCAACAGCACAAATTGATAGTAGATATCACAACTTAATTATATCTTGGTGAATTAATCCATTTCTCTTACTGCTGCTTCATAAAGGATTTAGTTTTTTTTTAAGACAAATTAGATTTTTCAATTTATCAATGTAGCCTAGGCTTTTGTAAGTGGAATGTTTATTAGTAACTCACTTTTTTGTTATGTTGGTTGTGAAATTGAGTTAGGCTTATTTCTGTCATTAAAATCCCAATTTGGCAAGGGCTGGTGTATGGTATTCCATAGTAGAATCCGTTTTTGGAATTGATGCATTGGATTAGTGCCTTCTTGTTGTCAGTATTGATATGCTAGCTTGCACCTTTTCCTTTCTTAGTAGGAACTTATTTGTTGTTACTCTTTTTAAATTGTATTATAACTAGTGATGGAAGTTAAAAGAAAATACAGATTTACATACTTTTATGTGTAGCCTTTAGGTTCATGAATTATTTACATTGCATCTTAATGTTATTTATTTTTCTTTACTTGCCTCTTTTATATCCATAATTAAAAATGTAAAGTTACTTATATAAATCTGATTATATTTTAATTCTATCATTTTCACTGTAGATTAGATTAGTATATCTTCAGACACATACATGACAACAGTTCATATACCATGAGAGAGAAAGCTAAAATAAAGATCCATAGAAAGCACAAAATTATGTTCACATGTATTTCCTCACACAGAAAGCACAAGACTAAGAGCATTCTCAGTCACCCCATAAGTGCCATCATAATTCCCCCCAAGTATTTATCAGAGTTGTTAGGAAGATCACAGTATTTGTTTTAGATAATGAGGTATCCTAGTTACAATGAAGTTTAAGTGGTAAAGATTCAAAATACTCTTTTGAGTAAGTGTGTACTGGCTTATTGGTGGAAGGAAAATCCACAGTCAAAATACTGTGATCATGTTTGGGGACTGTTAGCAAAAATTGGGTCGATGGGCTCATTTGTACCTGAACTGAAACAGGACAGACTTAGATTTTTGGGTAGGTGATAACCTTTAAGCTATGGAGCTGTTGGAGTTATTTTAAAGTTTTTGTCTTGAGGAAATAATACTCAATAACAATATGAAAAACTGGGCAAAATTAAGTTTTAATAGGACAAATACTAGTTTTAATTTTTGTATAGGCTTGTGTATAAGATGAAATTACTGCAATTAATTTTAATAGAGGAGAATTTGATCAAAGTGTTGTAAATATCAAACTAATTCTGAGACAGATTTGCCAAATGAGCTACAATGCTTTTTACTGTGGCCTTTACAGTCTGTAAGATTTTTTAAATCTATTCTGTTATCCTCCTCAAGACTAGATTAGTAGAAATCTGAATGAGCACAGAGTGGAAAATGTTTCTTCCCATCAGCATTGCCCTTAGCCTACCCTTCACTTTATGCACCTCTTGAACAGTCCTTGTTTACCAAGTGTGAACATATAGTTGTCTTGAATTTTGTTAGTATCAAGATACAACTCAATGAGGAAAAAGTGATGATTGCCTTATGTACTTGCTCTCTATTTCGTGTATTTATCTTAGGGAATGATTTGGCAAATTGTATGATTGAATGAATGTGACAAATTTTAGAAGCGTTCATCTGGATACTTTGAGGGAAAAGTTTTCCTCCCTTTATGAACAGCTGGACAGGTGTTCATGATTATTTTAGAACTTAAAGTCTTATGCTTAGTAGGTGGAGGCTGAAGGGAGAGAATGGGGGTGAACCTTGAGGAACATGTTTGGCTTTAGCAGTATGTGATAACACAAAGCAGTTAGAGCTTGTTAGTTCTGTATGTACATGATGTATCCTACCTTTAAATTTAAATAGATTGTAGCAACTTTATGAAAGAATGCTTTTGGATATTCCTTTGGCAGAAACATCTTTCATTTGTAATTCCATGGGAAATTGCTTTAAGTAGCCTAGGTGAAAGTAATGTAAATATGTATAATGAGAATTTTCTAATTTCACTGTGCGATCGCAGACTTTGGAGTGGCAAACAGATCAACAAGTCTTTTGCTCATAGACTTTTCTGTGGGATTGTTAGATGCAAAAGCTTTATTATTTTTTTTTCCAATAACATATAACATTAGTGTCCAATAATGGTATGGAATCTTTTTTCTGCATTTCCTTGCCATTATTGGTTCAGTTTATAGGTTGCCAACAGTGTTCAGAAATAGAGCAAGGATTTACCCTTTCTTTGCTTTTTTTCTTTTCTTGGACATCTTGTTTGCTATGTCCAGACTTGTGTTGGCAATCCCCATATGAACTGTGCTTTTCAGTGCTTTTTTTTCTTTTTTGATAAGATGGATATCAAAAATAGTTGCTGTGCAAAAGTTAGTAGTATTCTTCAAGAAGAAAACCAATTCCTTTTCTAATAATATCCTGTGAAATTGCTTAACTCATTCCTTTATTTTTAAGCCAAATGTCAGCAGAATATTGCTGCTTTTATGTAGCAATTTTGATATGTAAGTATTTAATGCATTTTAAAAAGATGTCCACATTGAAAAAAATGTTTCCCCTGTGTCCTCCCTATTATACTAGTTCAGATTTTCTGTAAGAGACCAGTCAGCGCACTGGGTGTGTGCCTGTGTGTGTGTGTGTGTGTGTGTGTATTGTGTATATGTGTCATTTTAGCTAGGTATTATAGACTAAAATGTGATTATAAATGAAATTGATGAATGCTAATTTGTTATCAGTGGATTTTTTAAAATTGTAAAATGATGATCAATTTAGCCTCCATTGAACACAGCTTTTTTTTTTTTTATTTCACTTAATTGGGTCCATGTCATTGTGAAATGTCATAGTTGCAAACAGAAAGTAGAATTTGGTATAAACCAAGTTACTTCTATCATGAAAGGAAAACAAATTGAACCTGTAGATTTAAAATTGTTAACTTCATGACAGTGACAGTTCTAACTTGACTATGTTATTGTACACAATCTCATTTTTAAAATTGTTGAATGTATAATAATGGTTTAATCTGTTTTTAAGTGTTATTGTTTCAAAAATGAGAAAAATGAAGCAAATCTGCTAGAGAGCTGTCAGTTTTCATTACTGACTAAAATACACTGTCCTTTGTGTACTGTGTGTTATTTTGCCAGCTGCTGCATTTGCCTTCAGAAGTATTTGGAAACTTAAGATGAACTACATTTCTTGCAAAGTACATTCCTTTCTGTGGTATTTTGTCTTGTAACTGAAGTATAGTAATTATTTTATGGAAATGTTAGCACTTCTGTACCAACTTTGAATAAAATGAAAAATTTACCTTTCTGTGACTGAGTATTTTCAATATGAACATATTTATTCCCTCAGATTTCCAGTGTCTTGTGTCTCAATTGAGGAAAATGCACTTCAATTTCTTCTTTTTTTTCCCTAGCCCTTGTCTCCCCATTCACCATACAGACTAGGCACAGGTCTGGGCTGAGGTGTATATGGGGGTAGGTTTACTCTGCTTCCTCTTTCTATACAGTCAGTGTAAGAACACAGCCTGTGGTAAGCACCCAGAGGCCTTGTACGTCAGTTTCTTATCATGTGGTTTCTATTATGTCCCCACTTCTAACCTGTGAACATAGACTCACAGATACTGACTAAAAATTTTCCTTTGTAAAACATAGACTAGATGACAGAATTCTTAGTCCTTTTACTTAACGATAATCTCAATTTATAGGAATAGTAGAATTTAGGGATTAAATTCTTCCAAATCTATAGGGAGAACAAACACATTGTCATGTTTGCTTTGTCATTTACATTTTTCTGAACCTCATGGGCATTTGCAGACGTTATAACCCTCTTACCTCTTAAGCTTTTTTTTTTTGACTAGGAAAGTCACTCAGTCAATCAGAATCTCGAAGATAAAATAGTCTTGAGTCCAAACACTATTCACATGTTGCTGATTTTCAGTACTGTTATTTTATCATGTTAAAATCCATCCAGAAGCTTTTTTTTTTTTTTTTTGCATTTAACATTATATCTCTTGTTGCTCTTAATCTGACTGGTTGCTTGGCCTTTCTTTTATGTAGGTGTTTTGGAGGAAGGATGGTCATTTTGTGACTTCTTCCCCAATTAGGATTTCTGTTGCTTTAAGATTAGCTTTAGGGGGCTGGGAAGGTGGCTCAGTGGTAGAGCGCTTGCCTTGAGGCCCTGAGTTCGATTCCTCAGCACTACATAAGCAGAAAAGAAAAGCTGGAAGTGGCGCTGTGGCTCAAGTGGTAGAGCGCTAGCTTTGAACTGAAGAGCTGAGGGACAGTGCCCAGGCCCAGAGTTCAGGCCCTACGACTGGACCCCCCCCCCCAAAAAAAAAAAAAAAAGATTAGCTTTAGACTACATTTGGTGTGGATACAGCATTAGTTATGTGTGTCTTCAAAGCTTCACCTTGGTGATGTGTTAACTGTTGTGGTGTGAAAGTGCTATTTTTCTATAAACTTTTTGGTAGGGGGAGGGTGGGCATACTGAACTGAAATCCATTTTCCCCATTTGTCAGCATGAACTTCTGCATTTTTTTTTTCTTGAACTCTGGGCCTGAGCGCTGTCCCTCAGCTCTTCAGCTCAAGGTGAGCGCTCTACTACTTGAGCTACAGCACCACTTCCTTCTGCATTATTTTCTATAGTTGGTTATATCTTTATTTTGTTTAGCTAATGAGACCCTTTGGTGCTAGTTTCTGTGTTCTTTGGGTTCTTTTTTGTCTCTGGCTGATCTTACTGGTTTCTTGTTGCTATTGTGATGTCATAGCCCTTCTGTATGTATACAGAGCCACGAAGTTCATTATGTATACACTTACCAACTCTTGCTTCAAACCAGCATAAGGTTTCCTTTTAGCATTCACTTATTCTGTTTCCCTTCTTCAACTGTGAGAAAGCTGATTAACACATTTTTTTGAACCCTACAACTCTAGAAATTAAAATTTTTTTTTTATGACTGAAAATGTTTGGTTGAATTCTAGGTGGAAAAGCACTTTCGGAACATACTACAAAAATACTGGAAATTTAGAAGTATAAGACCAGACTTTTTAACTTCTAGTCTTTTGGTCCCAAAGTTTGATAATTACAAGGTTTGGTGAAAGTATTTCATTGTACTAGCCCTTTGAGGGCCCTTTGAAGTTGGCAGCTCAGTCTGAAGCAATGTTTCTGTTTACTTCCTTTTGGAACCCCCTTTTTGTTTAGCTCTTGGACCTTTTGGCCTGGTATTATACTAGTTGATAAGTTTCAAGAGTTTTTCCCCTTTCTGGAGGAATTTCTGAACTTTATCTTCCAACCGTTCTGTGGAAAGCAGTTTTTGAGCAATTTCTGTCAAGACGAATGAAGATCTCCATACCATGAATTTTTCTTCCCCCTCCCCCGCCAGGCTCTTGTTTCAAGCTGTCTCCTCCTGTCTGAAAACACTGGAATTTATTCCTCTGACATTATTTACTCTAGGCACAATTTCTTTTAGTTCATGGTGGTCTTTTCATGTTAAAGACATTTCTTAGATGTGTGCTAATGGTTTGTGGTCTGCTTATATTTAATAAGATGAACTGAAAGTGCTCCAGATTGTGTGTAGAGCATTCTCAACTTCATAGCTTGGCCTTAATGGCTTGGTTTTGTTTTAATTTTGTTTTGTTGATGGTGTACTGGGTATTGAATTCAAGACATTATATTTGCTAGGTAAATAATCTATCACTTGAATGACACCTCCAGCCTTTTTTTCTATTGCTTATTTTCCAAGTAGGGTTTCACTAATTTAGGCAGGCTTGGGCTGTCATCCTTCTACTTGTACTTCCCTGGGAGCTGGAATAACCAGTGTAGGCCACCATTGTTAAAATGGTGTCTTGAAATCTTCCTTTATTTCTAGGCTGGCTTTCAACTTCAGTCCTCTACCATTCTTTGCCCAGACTTGAGCCATTATGCCTGCATCATGGCCTTTTTTTTGGGGTTGGTTGTGGCGCTTGAACTCTGGGCCTGAGCTCTTCAGTTCCAGGCAAGCGCTCTACCACTTGAGCCACAGTGCCACTTCCAGTTTTCTGGTGGTTAATTGGGGATAAGAGCTCACGGACTTTCCTGCCCAGGGTGGCTTTGAGCTGTGATCCTCAGATCTCAGCCTCCTGAGTAGCTAGGATTACAGGTGTGAGCCACCGGTGCCCGGCCTTTTTTTTTTTTAAAAGGCAAATTTTGCAGTAAATTTAGAATAGATGAGAGTTTCCCCCCAAAAGTTTCAAACTGAATGGTAGAGATGGGGATGTAGATCAATGTACAACACTTTACTGACTTCTGTGTCAGGTCCTCGATTTTATCCCTAGCACCACAAATGCGATAAAATAAAATGAAAAAACATGAAATCTGAAAGGTAAGAAACTGCCTTCCACTGTTCTGAGAACCAAGGGTGGAGGAGCACAGGAACTTGAGCATTCAGTATTTATTCTTTATTCCCCTTGTGGTGTAGCACCCATGTAGAGCTGTGCATGTAATACCCCACTCTAGGGATTTCCATGAAGAATTATACTTCAGAGAATAAACTTCCAAATACACAGCACAGGGTCCAACTGCCCATTTGGTTTGATTAATTACATATATTTGTTCCTAACTTAACCCTAGTTTCAGAGTGTCCAGAGTTGCCAATTCTCAGATATCTATACAATATGTATATCATATATACAGTGTACATGGCTGATTCTTGGTTTTCCCCTTGTTGCTTTTTTTTTTTCCTCCTGCAATTTTAATACTATTGTCTCCTTTTCTTCCACATTATTTCAGGGATGTAACTTTACAAAACTAAATCCTGTACCTTATCTGTCAGAATATCACATACACATTATATATTCTGTCAATTTATACCATGTTAAAATGGAAAAAAGAACACATCTGCACAGTTGTCCTAGTATATTTCTGGTTGAATCTTCGAACGTGCCTGGAAACCTTGGTAACTGCTCAGTATAGTCTTTGAAGCCTGAAATTTCAGGCTTTTTGTCCATCTCTGCCCTTCTATCTCCACCCTTCCCTGAAAGAAAGTTTGACTAGAAACAAAGTTATGTTTTTAAATTTTACATCTTTCTCAAGGAAGATTTTCATATTTTAAATGGGCCTTAGAAGCTGTATAGTTGATTTTTTTAATACAATGCCTGAATCCCACCTATCAAAGCATTTTATGAAACTTTACATAGTCAGTACAACCACACAGATGTTGTTGAGTGGGTATCATTAGTTTTAGTAGGATTAATTTCCTAGTCCAGTAATTGGTGAATACTAAATCATATACCTCTTTAGTTAAATATAGTGTCATTTTCCTGTGGGCTCATTTTTGTCAACTTGCCAATCCATGACTTTTTCTGTTTAATGTCACCATGCTTAATGTAAATTGTGGGTTCTTTAACTGTCTTTAACATAACACTTGACTGCAGGGCCAGCAGCATTGCTGCAATTCACTCCTGATGGTGTGTATTTAGGGTATTTTCTCTGAAGGGTACATCACATCTTGGGCTTAACTACCTCAGTTCTACACATAAGGGTCATTTTTCTCTGAGGGAAATCACTGACAGCACACAGAAAACGGGGGAAATAAAGGCACTGAATAGGCTAGTCATCTGTGATGTGAGACTTGAAACAAAAAGCAAAATGTTGCCTTGTTCCACCTCACTTGTGAAGGTGTACAGTAGGTGACTTAATACACTCTGTGTATGCATGTCTGCAAATGATTGGGTGAGGGGGCAGCATGGATTTTAATGCGGGCATTGCAGATTTGGGAAGTTAACAAATTTTAGCAAATCGGCAAATCTGCAAGTAAGAAGTCCACAAATAATGAATATCTTACCTTTGGATACTTGGGAAGCAAGCATATGTCATTACCATCCATAAGAAGTAGGACATCATCAGCACCTCTGCACCCAATCTGTACCCAAGAGTGCTTGTTGCACTCTCACTTAGGAGTTTTCTTGTTGATGGTATCTCCGCTTTTCATGCCCAAGTTCTTTCTCAAGTAGTGCCTTTTCCCATCTGTATTTGAAAAAAGTATACTTAGAAGTTTCAAAATCAGGTTTCGTACGCTCCATTTTCTCTGGGATGTGGTCTTAGTTCATTTCTGTTATTAGAACAAACTGCCTGAATCAGTAAGCTTTTTTAGTAAGTTCATGGTTCTGGAGGCTGGGAACTCTTGAAAGTATGGTGCCAACCTCTGCACATGCACATGGCACATGCGCGCCCACATGTGCATACACCCCCCCCCCCAACTCTTGAAGAAGGGCTTACTATATCATGACAGTGGCTTCTGAGTCTTGCTTGAAGTCTCACTGTCACACCCTGTGGTAGATTTCCTTTACAGTCCTGTGTATTACAAAAAGATTTGCTGCCTTGGTTTCCAGAAGTTTCTATAACTTTATAGAAGCTGGGTTTTGTTGAAGAAACATTCCCTGTATACTAGGAGTTGAACACTTGAGTTCTTTATTTCATTCTAAGGATTTTTCAAACTTTGGAGCCACCAAATAAGTGTATTTGACTGTGCTTTTGTTTTTTGTATTTTATCTTGTTTATTCCTAATTTTTTACTTTGTATCTGTTTTGAACTAACAGTGTACCTTAGCTTTATTATGTATCTCTGCCATTCAAAAAATACTACCTCTTTGCAAAGAGGATATTTTTCTCATATTTTGTTACTCCATTTAATCTGTTCGTCCTTTCTAGTTGGACCAAATAGTTATTAGCAACTTTCATTTCTTTACTAATTGGCTACATACTCATCAAATAGTTATTGTCTATATGGTGTGCCATATTCTTTGCATCTCCAGCATCTTTTAGATGGTAAGTAAGATTCAACCTTGAAAAGTTCTAGTTTAAGGGCTCATGCTACTCAGGGGGTTGAGAACTTAGGATCATGGTCCAAAGCCAGCCTTGACAGAATAGTTCATGAGACTTACCAGCAGCTACCAGCAAAAATCTGGAAGGGAAGCTCTGGCTCAGGATAGAATTGACAATCTTGAGCAAAGGAGCTCAGGGATAGCTCCCAGATCCTGAGTTCAAGCCCAGGAGTGGCATAAATTATTCATCCTAAAAAATCATACTTGCAAGGTGTAGAATGAGAGAGGTGCCCGTGGGGTTTTAGAAGAAAGGCACATTTCTAGGTAGTAGCTGAACCTTGATGTTTATATTTCTGATTCCTTTGTTCTTGTATGTTCTTTCTCTTTGCTACTCTTCAGTGTAGAGCAGCTGCTTAAGTAGCTTCCTGTATTCCCTTGAGTTTAAGCACACATCATGGCCCTAGTTGAAGGGCACAGTTCTGGTCTATTGTCCAGCACAGTGTGTAGATCTCCTATCAAAGCCCGTGTTTCAGATTCTATAAATGTATTTTGCTTGTAAACTTCTCTTGACCCAATCATCTAATGATATTTTTGGCTAAACTCTGTACTGACATTTAGAAAATTCATAACACCTAAATAGAACTTTCTTATGAATCTTTAAATGCTTTCTTGATTTATACTTTCCTTGGCATCCCTGCCATTCCATTTCTGTCCTCCACTGTTGGAAGAGGCAAAAACAGTGAACTGATGGTGTGGGACTAGCAGTTAACAAAGCAGGCGACGCAGTGTTGTCTACCCTATTCCTGCTCTTGCTATCCATTTCACTGGCCTTGCCATGCCATTTACTTGCTGTCATAGTAACCAGGCCTCCTGCCAATCATCCTGTTTCCATCTTTTATTCATCCCGTAAGTGCTTCTGGGAAGGGGATAGGGAGGAGAGAAATGGACCCAGGAAAGGATTGTGCACTTTATAGCACAAATAGCTATTTTTCCACTTCATTCATGGAAGATTCCAGAATTCCTGTGAGAAAGTGAACATTTCCCATCCTTAAATTAGAGTTAGGTAAGATTATTGAATAAAGCCCTTTGTAAACTGCAGTTCTTATGACAGTGTAGACCTTACCTTCATTTGGGAGAACTTTAAGTATCTTGGTACCCAAGAGTTTTAGATTCCAAGGTCAATTGAATTAAAATACCTGAGGGAGACATTTAAACATCTTTATTTAAAATTTCTCATTTAACTCATGTGTGCTGAGGGGTGCCACGGTGACTGTCCTTTTCCTTTGACATCCCTAAAAGGTGCTTGGCTCCATGTAAATGAGTCCCCAGATTTGTCTTTAAATAATGTCTGAATGATACTCTTTGAGACTCCAGAAACAGTTCAGTTAATTAAGGACTTTACTGTTTTGCAGTTGAACTACACAGACTTGTTAGCTTAGTTATACAGGTACTAGACAGCTAGTAAATCTATTCAAGGTTGGATCTCATGAATCATGACTTACTTACTTTATGGGCTAGTCATTTATAGCTACTCCCTTTTTTTTTTTTTTGGCAGTATTGGTGTTTGAACTAAGGACCTTAGGCTTGCTTGCTAGGGTAGTGCTCTGCCACTTTAGCTAGGTCTCTAATCCTGCTTTTTGTGGATTTTTTCCCTCCAGTACAGTCCTGCAGACTTTTTTGCCCAGATTGAGTCCTGATTCTATAGATATGAGCCTCTTGAGTAGCTAGCATTAGAGGCATACATTAGTGGTACCTGGCTTATTTATAGCCTTCTGATGCTGGTACACATATTGATGTGCACATATTGATGGTCTAGATGGCTTCAGGGGCCCCTGAGATGGGTAAGTGTAGTTTTTATTGAAAGGAGATATTTAATATAGTAATTACTGCATAATAATGTTTCCATAGCAGCAGGTCACATAAGATCCTGATCTTAGAAGTTTATATCATATCATAGCTATTGTTGCATAAGAATATTCTGTGATTTCGTACAAGAAATTTCACATATGATGCATTTCCTAGAATGTAGCCCCCATGCATCAATAAAAGTGATGCATGACTACATTGAGTTTACTTGAACTAGATGAATTCTAGGTCACTTTAAAATGCACTATTGCTATTCATAGCACGTGGAGCTATGTGAACAGTGTGAGAGCATTGGTAGGTAATTTTGCTTCAACATTGCAGTCATTAGCATAGCAGTAAGCATTGTTGTATATAAAAAGGTTCATGTTCTTAGGAGACAAGGAAATGTTTCTAGATTGTCCCAAGCACTGCTAGAACTAAAAGAGAATGACATCAGGAACGTCATCAAGGGTTCAGCAAGAAAGTGGAGTGTGAAAAAAAGTAGACTTTTGTTACAATGTATATGTTTCCAGATGATAGTGAAAATTGCAACATGAGCGTTCATGTGAAACTTGTAGAAACAGAAGAGTGGAGAACACTGACCATAGCAGGATAGCAGAAGAGGAACCTTCAACATGTTTCAGCAGTTTACTCAGGATTGTAGACCTCATTAGGGAATGAACTATTTATTACTAGACCTATTTCCTACTTCATTCATTGCTTGTGTCTTTCATCTTCAGCCCCCACCACCATGTGCTTTCCAAAATTGTTCCATTGACATATGTGGTCAGTTTGCCTTGGAGGCTACTTCCAAGTGGGTGGAAGAAGATTGTAAGAAGTATGTACAATTTCTCTTTAGAAAATTCTTATTAAATGGTTCAGAGATTGAGAATAAGCTTTCAATGAAAATTTCATTAAAATGAGAATTATATAAAAATTTCATTGAAAATGAAAGTTCTAGGAGGATCATTTACTTTCTGTAACTATAGGCTTTTATAGAAGTTGAACATTGTGTTGATTAAACAGAACCTATCACCCCCTTCACCAAACAATTTTACTTTTATAGATTTATGGGTCTCAACAAACAAGGAAATTGGCTTCTTGGCTTGAATAGATTTAGGGGGATGGGTGAGTTTTTTGTAGAATTCGTTCTGAGACCTTTGGTGAGTTTTAGGTAGTAGTAGTAGTAGTAGTCATCTAATGGTGCCCTGTGTGTTCTCTCTGATGACCATCCTATGAAGAATTCACTGTCTATACTTCAGACTCATGGTTTTACTTGGCATTTTAGGATGAGCAGGTCGAGGCCCTACCAGCTTCATACAATCTTCCACAGTAGTGAAGTAAATAGTTAGTAAATAGCGTAAGCTTTGGGGCCTTATGATCTTTATAGCAATTATGTACCTGTCTTTAAGCACAAAGGTGCACATGTATGAGTTGACTGTTCTAGTAAAATGTTATTTGCAAAGTCAGCCCTGCTGCATGTGGTTCATAGGCCCTGGTTAGCTGGTCCCACCTTATTGTGAGGTAAAGAATATGAGATCTACTGGACAACCCTAGTATGCTAGAGATGGCTTTGCCTCAGTCTTTTTTTTTTTTTTTAAACCTGGCACCATTTTTTTTTTTATTAGCTTCTCAGTCATAATCTGGTAATAAAACATTTTGAGTAACATTATTAAAAACAGCTCCCCTCAGTCTTTCTTCAAAACTTTTTTTTTTTTGGACAGACCTGAGGTTTGAACTCAGGGCATGGGCACTGTCTTGGAGCTTCTTTTGCTCAAGGCTAGCATTCTCTACCACTTGAGCCACAATGCCACTTTCAGCTTTTTCTGTTTATGTGGTACTGAGGAATCGAACCCAGGGCTTCATGCATGCTAGACAAGCACTCTACCACTAAGCCACATTCCCAGCCCTCTTCAAAACTTTTGAGTAATTTGAATTGACCGTTTAAGCAGTCTGAAACTTATTCTTAACATACCAAAGTCAAACAAAATGTTTGATATTTTCCTAAGTTACATTCTTGTTAGGTAGCCCTGCCCCTATTCTGGATACATGTAAGAAGAAAATCTTTTGTTTGGGTGTGTGTGCGTGTGTATGCATGTACCGGTTTACTGGGCTTTGAACTCAGTGCCTGTGCTCTTGACTAGCTTTTTCTGCTCATACTCTACCACTTGAGCCATGTCTCCAGTGCAGTATTTTTGCTGGTTAATTGGAGCTAAGCATCTCATGGACTTTTCTGCCCAGGCTGGTTTCAAACTATGATTCTTAGTTTTCCTGAATAGGTTCTTCCAAGAGCCACCTGAATAGATGTGAACCACCACATCTACGAAGAAAGTTTTCTATTA